TCTCTCTCTCTCTCTCTCTCTCTCTCTCTCTCTCTCTCTCTCTCTCTCTCTTTCTCCCTCTCCCTCCCTCCCTCCCTCCCTCTCTCCCTCCCTCTCTCCCTCCCTTGCGACTTTCCTTCTGTGTATTTCATTTTTTTTTTCGTTTGTGCATTTCTTTTTTTTTTCCTTCTTTCTTTTTTTGTTTATCTGTAGTAGTGTCGTCCCTACAGAACCGGGGCCCGGCCATCGCGCTACGACCGGGCCTTCCCTTGGCCGACCCCCCTAAGGGTGCGGCGCGTATACGGGAAGGCCCGCGGCCGATAGCTGAGCGAGGTACTGGTGGTTTAACACGTTACATATCTGCATTTCAGTGTGGTCATGAGTGCCAATCATACCATTGCACTTAAACCACCAGTACCATGACCGCTCATATTTTCTGGACCTTTAGAATTAGAAGGGCCCTTGGGCAGGGTCAGCCAAAACACGGTAGAAACTTGGGCGGGGCTTGTTTTGAAAATCAGCGTGGCCGCCAAGCGACAAAACAAAAACAGAAAGGCAACAAGAAAGGACGAAAAGGCAACAAAAAATAAGGCTACAAAACAAAAACAAAGAGGCGATGAAATGGAAAAGGCGACAAGAAGAAAACAAAACGGCGACCAAAATAATACCGCACAATGAAACAAAGCGCTGTCGGCAGCCTCTCCTCAATGCCGCTCGGGGAACCAACAGCCTCTCTCTAGGTGGGGGGTGTCACGCTTGCCCAGGAAGGTACATGAGGCCAATGGGGACTGAACCCAAGACCTTCCGAATGCCACTTGCGCACCTTACCAACTGAGCTAGATCGCTGGATTCAGATGCGAAGTGTCTGCTCTTCCAAGCTCAGTCCTGATGCAAGTGGCTGACCACTGGCCGGTATCGCCCACCTGCAGGTGCAGCCCCCACATGTTTCCTTGATGGAGTCTTGTGCTCGGGCTGGCCGCTACCAGGTTCCCCGTAATGCTATACTGACAAATTGTGATAATAAAAAAGCCCTGAAAGGCTGTCCTGTCCAGATTTGACAGGTAATTGAATTGGTTGGGCTTCAAAGAATTAGGATAAAAAAAAAAAAAAAAAAGAGCGCTGTCGGTTATAGTTTTGTGGCTGCTTCTAATCTTTTCCCAAGCCTCGACGAGGTTTTGGGAATGTGCTCCCCAAGGTACTCTAGGTTTTGGGAATGAGTTCCACAGGGCATTGACTTGGCGAATGGCCCAACTCAACTCTTGCCTCCTCCACAACCTACAAAGCAGTCCTGTGACGGCAAACTCCTGCTACTAATCTACATGCATGGAAATACTTGCATTTACAGACACCGGCATGACTTTGTTTGTGAAGATGGCAATCAATTTAACAGCCATCCGGCTGTCATCAAGTTCGCAGGCTTCCCATCATCTTATGGATAGACAAAATGATGGAAGTCCCCATACTCATAAACACGGACCTGTTTTCGGTCCTATGCCGAAGGGAGAACATGGCTCAAAAGAAGAGGCAAACAGTGAAGCCCGGGAATTTAAGAGATGACAAGGTTACCTGTTGGGAAAAGGGTGCAAATGAGGGTGGATAGGGGTTTGTTGGTCGGGTGTGGGTTTGGGTGGGGTCGCGGTAGTTTTTAGGCTCACACGTGCATTGTTGTTGACACTGCCGATCGAATGCTGCTGCTGCTTTGTAAGCCTTGGATATATATTTTTCTTTCTTTCTTTTTTGCTTTTTTGTCCTGCCAAACACCTGATCACAGTTTGCAATCCTTTCAGTTGTGGTTTGCTGGTAGCAAGATGTTCGCTACACTTGGATTGGAACTGACTGCTCAATCTTGCTTGGATGTGGTCAAAGGCGCGGTTCCCACGAACTTTACTAATCGCCTAGGCAGGGACTTCATTGGGTACACTGACTGGTTCACTCTAATGAAGGACATAGTCAGTCTTGAGGCTGTAGACCTCGTCACCACAGCAGGCAGCAAAAAGCCCATGGGCGGCAGGCGTTTCAAAGGCAGCAACCGTTTTGCTGTGCATGACCTGCTGGAGGCCGAAGAAGAAGCCGATGCAGATGACCCCACTCTTGGTGGCGACCAAGAACAGGACTCTGATACCGCTTGTTCTTCAGCCCACGAGTCTGATGCGAACAAAGAAGAAGAAAAAATTACTGCCTTTAAAAAGACTATCAATGCAAAGGGACCGAATCGGAGTGCAGGGAAGAACCATGTCCAACTTCCAAAGGGAGTCAAGATCCCACCTAAACCGGAGGATGCGACTACTAAACCTTGGGTCGACCTCCGGATTACTGAAAATGACTGGCGAGGTAGACTCAAGAAGGGGGTATGGCTGCATTGCCAAAAACCAAACCATAAGGTACAAGATTGTTATAGGCTGCAGGGAAACCAGAACCGGGCATAGAGTCAACTTCAGCAAACTCTACAACAGGGGAGACTGAATCTGATGCAAATCAACAGTCCTCCCTTGAAGCCCAATCATCTGCTGAACACAAGGCTGAGGTGAGTAACGTTTTGTATGTCGAGCCTTGGGAGGAATCTGGGACGGTCGATTTTCACTACCACTTGGAGCATTGGGCTACGATGAAACAGCTGCGTGCCCAGGGGACAGTGAACTTGATCTTCTTCAAACTTCCCATAAACCACCGCTATCTCCGTGTTTTGGTTGACTGTGGTGCTACGGCTAACTTTATGTCACCTCACGGGATATGCAAAGTGGGCTTGGGGATGAAGCAGGTGGCCTTGCAGAACCCTTGCCGAACACAAGTTGGCAACAAAGAGGTTGTCTCTTCTACACATGCAGTCAAAGGTGTGCGCACTACCTTTGACAGGGACAAAACTGTCACCCACGCGTTAAACTTCTATGTCCTTGACAAGTGCCCCTTCGACGTTGTCCTTGGCTTGGGCTGGCTGCAGTCCCAATGCGAATGGACCAAGTGGAAGGAGTCACTCTTCATGATCAAAGATGCTCGAGGGAACGAGCTTCCTGTCCTCTTGGATGAGAAGCACAAGTGCCCAATGACTTTTTTGAATGCTATGAAGTTCTGCAAGAAATGGCACAAGCACAAGGAGGAAGAACAATTGTATGTTGCCTTCGTTCGTCCTACCCATGTGCCATCTACTTTTGCGGTTAATACCACTACTACTTCGATTAGTGATCCTACTTCTAGTACTTCTACTTCTAGCACCTCTATTTCTCTACCCTCTAATGGCCCAGATGATCCTAATTCAGATTCAGTCGTCTCTATCCGTGACCTGCGACCGGAT